AGATTTACATGTAGGAATTTTATTCTTGAGCAGTCTCTTTTGCATGATATTTTTTTCTCGATTATATGCCGCATGATTTTTTTTTCTTTCTCCTTGGATTGCAGGAAATTCGTTTTCGAAAACTTCCAACCCAACGCCCCCCCCCTCAAAAATCAAACGGTCCGCCCCTAATTGCTTTCATAGCCGACAGGTAGAAGTGATTATGGCTAAGTTATTGCAACTATGCAAGTTTTTAAACCCAGTGCGTGTTTTATCTGACCTAATTAAAGATACTCTGCTTCGCCTTGTATCTTTATATCTGATAAAACACTGCTGCTCATGTTATAAATAATACATCAAGTTCAGTGTTTCCTTTTTCGAAATTTCAGTCGAATTCTGAGTTTCATGAGAGCTTGGTCGCAGGTGACGTTTATCGATAAATGTTTTACACAGCAAGAAAATTCGGAGGATTTTAGCTGTCCAATGATACTTTTTTGTATCATTATAAGAGAAAATGGCCCTGAAATCACATTTTTCCAACTTTGGGAATTTGGTGAAAAACTATTGAAAGTAAAATCCCATTGTAAAATTCATTTTAATAAGTCCTAACATCTCTGGTGTCTTCTGTTTTAAGCTTACTGTTTGGCATGACACATTATAGAGATTAAATGTTTTACTTTTGTTCTGCACTGCTTTATTGGGGAGGGGGGGGGGAATAGGTTTTCGGATTGTCGGATTTCACAGAAAAAATTGTTCGGATTTCGGATCTGGCGAATATTTTACACGGATTTGCGGATCTTATTAATACAGCGGATTGCGGATTTATCTAATATTTTGGCACGGGTAGTGGATTTAGCTTGCAATTTAGTTCGGATCCTGGATTGTGACTTCATAGTAGAGCTTTTAGTGAATTCAAATTTAGACAAGACCATTGTCGGATCGTGCATTTTGCTTCAAATTTGGGTGGATCGGCGGAATTATATACCCCTATTCACCCACCTATGCATGCATGCATGCAATGGATGATTCCAGTTATTGACTAAATTTTGATCTGGGCAAGAAGAACAAAATCCACCACCACAACCAGAAAGGACATGTTAAAATTAGTAAAATTGCAAAGTTTGTTTGCGAAATGTTGTAAAATGCGGACAATGTAGCCCTGCGAAATTTGAAAATTTTGTATTAATTTGTCCGATTAGTTGACCTGCACGGAAGCGAACATGAAGCCTCATTGATATCATTATTGCGTGACTTAACCAACGCAAAATTGGATGCTGATCCTCTTTTCGTGTCGGACGTATGATAATTATCTGTCTCCATGATGTCTTCAATTTCTATAGCTATTGTCTACATGCTGTCTTTAATTTCTATAGCTATTGTAAAATATAGCGCACAGAATTGTTTGAATGCAGTGAAGGATGACGAAATGGATGACGACACGGTCATTGTGAATCTTACTATGCTTAAATAAATGCAATTTTTTGTAAGGTGCTCTTCCTCATTTATATACCATATAAATGCTACATTTGACGAGTTAGTGGAAGACAGCAATGTTGAAACCCGAATGAACGTCCAACTGAACACATTAGGGTATCTTTTCCAATAATTTTATCAGCTAATTGCTTTAATTGACAGCAACCTGCACTCACAGGCCACAGTTCCTTACCACGATCGTGTCCTGTGTTCCTTCGTACACTGCAAAGTGGCATTTTAATGTCCTTTAGAAATTATTATCGATCATTTGAATCTGCTAGCCTTTGTAACTCCCACATGCGTCTTTTAATGGAGTATATGCTATGTTTCAATACGCTACATGCATGCATGCATGCATGCTATGATTTTTTATCATTCAATTTGTAACGCTTAGATCGTTTCCTATGATTTGCTATGATTTACAGTAACTATATGACAAATGTGAATACGTGCAGGGTTTTGGCACAAGTTTGTCCTTTTGCACAACCCAAAGGCCTAATTAATTCCACGACGAATGAAATGCGAAAAATTTCACGCGAAAACACACTTGTGCGAAAATTTTCTCTCGTAGTGATTTTCACAGTAGAGAAAAAATTCGCCAAAACACAAGCATTTGATTGGCTTTGCCATTTTGTCATCCAAAACACAAGCATTTGATTGGCTTCGCTATTTCGATTTCGCAATGGAGTAGAAACGAATAGCTGTTATGGTAATCGAATACGCCGCTGTGGCGAACCAGCGGTATCTCAGTGAAAGTACGCACGAAAACGAGGCTAAATGGTCAAAAAAACACAAAGCATGACCGTATAGCCTCGTCTCGATGTTAAAATAATACAGATACCGCTGGTCCGTAGCATAGACATATTCAAGTACGATAACAGCTATTCAACTGCCTGGCGAAGAGAAATATTTCGCAGAGAAACACTCCAAAATCATGTTGCGCATGCGTTCAACCTTTTCGCGCGAACTTTCACATTTCGCTCGTCGTGGCAAGGGAGTTAGTTATATTATTGCAGTCGATCATAACAAGTTGTTTTGTAGATCTAGTACGCAAAGTCGCCACAAGGCAATTTACTCTTTACGGCGTGGGAACTGCATGCATGCATGGTCGATATGGCATGGTCGATAAAATCGATCGGTCAAAATAACTCATTGGTTGCCGATCAAATCCTTATCGAGTGCCAATTTACAAAACTCAAGGCAGGAGTAACTATAACCAACAACTTGTTATCGTATCATAAACAAAGAGATCACTGTAATTATATGCATGTGTGCAAATAGTCTGCCTATTATTTTAAGTTTCACTTAGGTTGCTTTGGGTCATTTTACTAATTAAGTTGCTTTAAGTCGTTGTTAACATGATCCAACCAACCACAACTTGGACTTTCACGTAAATACACCTGCGTAACTGAATATAAGCTATGCTAAGTCCTTCGGTGCAGGTCAACTATTACGCGCGTGAAAATGCACCACATTTGGACCGAAAGTGGTGCGTTTTCCCGTGCGTATACTGTAGGCCTAATACAAATTAATACAAAATTTTCAAATTTTGTACGGCTATATTTTCCTCATTTTACAACATTTCGCCACCAAATATTGAAATTTTACTAATTTTAACATGCTCTTTCTAGCTATGGTGATGGATTTTGTTCTTCTTGCCTAGATCAATATTTAGTCTATAGCTGCAATCGTCCATCCGGCGGATCGGCTCGTATTTGGTCATTTTTGCTTGATATGATACAAATAAGGTGTCATTCGGAGGCTAAAATCCTAATCTTAATTGATATGAAGAAACAAAAATCTGGGCACTTAATATTGACCACTCGATAGCTGGAAGACCTTTTTTGATACACCCTGTATTTCCTGCAACCACCAATGGAGGGTATAATCAGTAGTTTTGTCGATTAAATCTTTCTTGTAGTGAAAAAGAAAAGTCTCATGCAAATTGAATGGCAATCAGTGTGACAGATAGACCATAGCGAACAAACAGAAAAGATTCTCTGGCACGCGTCACGCAATATAATCCGAACAGATCGATCAACTCAGTTCATCTACAATTCTGATCTGATCGTTCTACAAAGGATAAATCAACCAGCAAGCAGTTGGGAATTGATAAAGTGCTGAATTAAGGTGAGTCCTTGTGATGTTCAGGATACACGTTTGCCGGAATTAATCTATATTTTGTAAGACAATTATTAGAATACCTCAAGATATTAAAATACCTCGTATATATTTTGGCAGAAATTATAAATATTGAAATGAATATATAGCCTATATATATTGAAATAATGTATTTGAAAAGTAGTAAAATACTGCAAGTACGTGGTGTTAAAGTGATATTTAGAACTATAATCGATTTTTGACAATTGTATTGATTTCATTGAGAGACATTGCCACGTTTGTGGCGCCACATCACTGCATCAGTACAATAATGCTGTCTACAGTATGGTTCCAGTTAGTTTGGTTCTCGTATGGATAGTTCTGTTTGGACATTTTTCAAATATATATGTCATGTATTAAGCATGTAATATTTAATGATTTCTAAATATATACTATATGTGTTAGCATCCTCTGCAGCCCGCAGGCATTTTGCCGTCATTCTCGTGGTTTAGTTACTTTAATTACATAATTTTGCCCGGCTAATATAAAGAGTAAAGGCGATGGAGGAGGCTACCACTGTGTAAGTATAAACATGCATATATCGCTTAGTCAGTTATAGTGACGTTTCATAAAAGGTTAATTAAACATTAAATGTATAGCTACTGTAGAATGTATTAGTAATTCTGAATCGAAATAAAATCGCCCTGTTATAAAAATTCGTGCTTCGTGCAACAGAGTGCAACTCAAGTCTTCATTTTATTATAGGCCTAAACTAAACAACGTTTTCGCAACTATATTAGGAAACTTTAGATTTGCTACGGCTACGAAATCCAGTATACGACTGCGAGATTTTTTCTATTAAATATAAGCTACTAAAAACTTATAATATAGGCCTATAGTATGTGGTTTGGCGCAACTGTTGCTATACAGATGTGGTATGCAAAAGAAAGGACGATAAAAAGTCTGCAGTAGCAGATATTTAACGAAAAAAATCTCGTAGTCGTAACAAATTTCGTAGCCGTAGCGAATCTAAAGTTCCCTAGCTAATATGCATGAATATGAAACTGTCAATCGAACAGGTTGTCCGAAAACCAGTGGGTGTAGAAATTGGTCCGAAAACCAGTGGGTGTAGAAATTGCAGGTGGCTCAAAATCGGGCCTGGTCACCGATAATTAACATGGAAAGATGGACCAGCTGTCGTGATAGCGAAGGCCAAAATCCGCCACTGTTTTTGGCTTCACATTTTTATGGCAACCTAGCACTTCCTCGATTGTGCTCGAACAATTTGAACCCTAATTTACTGCACGTGTAAGACTTTACACATCAAACTATTAAATGAAAGCTAGCTACAGTGTGCTTAATCTATTTATAGATATTTTGAACAATGGACTGCTATGAGATTCATCATGGGCAAACTTTAGACTAATGCAGAATTATTTCCAACAAAAATGGAAACAAAGGACCTAAAAACGCATCGCAGCGGTCAAATGCATATAAAACCCTATGAAGAGTTGATGGTGAATCAAATTTTAGGTAAGAATATGATACTCGAGCACATTGCTGCTGCAGCAAGCAAGCTTAAAGCGAGCGACGCATCTCGAAGCCTTTCTAACGCATTGCATTCGGGTTGTGCGCAGTAGGATCCGGACAGCGACCTTCAATATATCTGGAGCGAGAATTCTAGTCCAAAAAGTAAAGGCTTGACCCAAAGAAATTGAAGAGCTATTGGACGTGAGGCCAGTCCTTTACGAAGTTGCCAGTAGTGTATTGAAATTTTGTATTTTGACTTCGATTTTAAGACTAATACTAGAAAATACACGCATGCAGAAACCCTCGCCTTGCTGACAAAACCATTGTATTTTCCGAACATGAAATATTTAAAGTAGTTTTCATAGTAACACGATAATTTTATTAAGAATAGTTATAGTTTACAATTCAAAAATCCCCTAACAATATCACTTTTCATTACAAATTACCGCTTTCTGAAAAAGGTATCAATTTTCCGCGCGTACAATACGAAATGACTGAAAAACGGCAAACTTCGCAGAGCTATATTATCCGCATTTACGACATTTCGCAACGAAACCTCGGAATACTACTAATTTTGTGATGCTCTTTCAAGCCGTGATGGAATTTTGTCCAGACTTGTCTAGATCAAAATTTTGTTCATTAGGTAATAGGCCATTAAATTAATTCTTCCAATTTTCGAACATTTGCATGAATGCTGATTGCCTATAAGGGAAACATATGGGCATCGTGATTAAGTCTGCAAACTTCTATTGTAGTCTAGTGTTTTAAACACTAAATTGTAGGGCAAATCACTTCTAAGATTACTTGATTAAAACTCGCTAGCATGCGAATGTGTTGCCGACAGTAATGGTATAAACTTATCTCACTAGGTACAACGAGATCAAACGAACCTCTTCAAGCCGTTGTTGAAAACCAACTTAACGAATTTGCGTTGAAAGAGGAAGACAACAGTATTTTAGAACGAAACCGGGCATTGCTTCAGTACTCCGCGACAATCGCGAATTCCAATAGTTCTAAAGATGAATTCAATTATGAATTTGTTGAGTCGCTTGTGAAAGGAGGTGCTGATATGAACATTGCTGACCAACATGGACAAACTATTTTTCACGAGGTTGCTCGCTCATGGAACACAGATATCGCATATTTTCTGATACACCTTGGTAAGAAATGTAAAATATTATTATTACACATCATTAGATATTTATGCATAGCAATTCGGCCAATCATAATGACATATGGTGTAATTTACATCACGTGTATCTGTCTCACTGTCTGGATACCCCGTCTACACTGCACGTAAAAACGCACAAGTTGCAACAAACCTGCAGCAGACGCTGTTCCAACAACTTGTCAACAGGTGTGTTTACACTGCTTGTTCCCAGCTTGTTGACAAGTCGTCACTAACGGCTTGCCGACAACTTGCTACAAGGTTGTTGAGCTCAACAAACTTGTTACAAATTGTTCAAAACACTTGTTATCGTCCTGCAATTCAACAATTTGTCAACAAGTTGTGAGTGACAACCTTGTAGCAACTTGATAAAATAACAGCATTGTTACAACATGTTGACAAGCTTGCTACAAGCCTGTTGCGAATACATCTTGTTGACAAGTTGTGAGATTTTTACGTGTGTAGACCAGGATTTCAATTACTTCAAGTGAGAAGGGCTTTGAACAATAGGGAAATTGTGGGGAAACACAAGTTTATGCAAACGTATTTAGAATAACTTCTAAATACAAAAACATTCAATCACACTTCAAACAACAAAATATGTTTATGTTGTAAGTTACACACTTACACAGTTTCAGCCTGGTCATTTTCTTCTAGATATCGCTTCAACAAGCATATATAATTTGGTATACTGTACTCCCGAGATATAGCTTGCCATCCTTGTCACAAACGTCTTGAACAAAGTTTGACAAGCCAGAAGTTTTTAAACGTTAAAACGTTCTTGCCGTCATTGAACACAAATCTGTCTCTAAATTTTGCAAATTCTGTAAATCTAAGCAGAAAGGATTGCTTTCACACATAACTTAAACTGCTTTATTTTCTCGCCCACTTTGCCAAACTTCAAATACGAACCCCTTAATGATTTTTATAACGCGTTGTTTGTGGAATAGCATTGCGGACGTTGTCCATAATACTTCTATCCACTCCTTGAGGACCTCGAAATCTTCTCTTTTTGCAAGTAGATGTCATGCCTCCTTCGAAGGCGAACAAATACTAACAGTAGTCTGAGCAACAACGCCTTTAATTCGTTCCATCGTTGCGCATTCCCTTGAATGAACAACTTAATTCCTTATTGTTACTTCCTCAATCTATGAATATCTAATGATGTGTGATGAGCCATTTCAAATCCTCGTTGGTGTTTTAGACTTGGCTTCCAAATCCCAAAGTGTGACGAACAATGGCTCCATTGTTCGTGGCACTTGGATTTAGAATCCACGTCTAAAACACCAACTAGGATTTGAAATATTACTTATCGTATTTCCTCTATTTAGAGGCACTGAAAAAATAATAATAATAAGTCCCCACCCTCTATTTACACCATGATGACCTAATGTTCTTATAATAATGTTCACTGATAATGCTGTGTCCTTATATAACTCTCACTGAAATGGCCAAATAAATGTGAATTGTATGAAAATTTCTCCAAATATTTCCCTATAATAAGAAGGGGTCTACGTACATACAGGAAAAACAGTGTGTGTTTATTATATGGATATATCGATGAAAAGGCTGGATTATATTTCTGTCCTTCTGCAAGACGTGATTAATAACGTTTTTAGCTCAGTTTGCAAGTCAGCTAAAGTCAGACTAAGAAGGGTTTTGTTGTGAATTTTCCCAGTCAAATTTGGCGGTATATCATGCATAGCTAAATAAGTCTCCATTTTCTGGGTTGTGTCTCTAGCATTGACGTCAAAAAAGATAAAGCACAAATGTTTTGCTACTTCGTTCTTGTCTCTAACTCGTGTCCACTTATATGATCGGCTCAGAGATGACGCGAATTACCTTAAGTTTGTCTAAACATCATAAAGGTTTGTTTGGAAAATGCACTCTCTTAAGATTATGACTCACTTTAATTTTAAAAACAGATGCAGCCACAGCCTCTCTCACTGATGCATTTGTAACCTTAAAAACCTTTTACTACATTGATCTAGGCATAAGAGTGATAAGACGGTATGAGTAATTCACCATTTACGCCAACACTGAAAAGGATGGGAAAGGATTGGTCAATTTTTGCCCTAAATAAATTATCTGTGAAAGTGTTTATATTTGCAGTCACAGTTTTATAATATACACCACCAAACATTTGGCCAAGAAATGGCTTTAAAGAATACCTCTACTGTATAGACTATTAATTTAAACAAAACTTTTCGGCTTTCTCCGAGTTTGGCGAAACGGCAGCTTCGTTTAGTACAAAAATGTGCTCGTCTGCAAAAGGAACGAAACGAGACCGAAGCTATTTTGTTTTAAGTCCCCGGTAGGTGAATTGTTCGCAAAATAACTATTAAATATTCAGACATTTTGGTATTGTTTACAAAGGTGGTGATGTCAACAAGCAAGACAATTTTGGACGCAGTCCTCTCCATGTGGCATCTGCTGTTGATTACGTAGAGATGACGGAGTTTCTTTTACTTAACAACGCAGATATCGACTCCAAGACGTACGGCGAAATCCAAGCTCCAATCCATTACGCTGCAAAAAATGGCGCCACTCGATCATTGAAGATGTTGTTGAGTTTCCACGCGAATATAGATACACTGGATGCGAAACAAAGGACTCCATTGCAGGTACAAGCTTTAAAGTCGTGCTATATATATTTATCACACAGTAATTCTTTCTTTTAGTTTAGTACCAGATGTATCTGTATGTGAAACAGATGAAACTTAAGATATAAGCTTTTATTTTGCAGATTGCCTCATCTTGATTCTATCATAATTTAATTTTAAAAGCTTAATTTAATTTAAAAATATTTATTTTGCGCTAAAGCTACAAATATTCTAAAGTGTACTTTACAATAATAACATTAGACATATTTAGATCGAGGACGCGGATGTCAAAGACGACGTGAAAATGGCGTCAAAATGGCGTGGCATATCCATACATGGGCACAACCCATTTTCACGTCGTCTTTCTTTGACGTCCGCGTCCTCGATCTAAATATGTCCAATAGACATGCAGGTATTATAAAATTACAATATCACGTATCTATTACAGGAAAGTTAAAAAATGTATCATAAACTTATTAAGAGCTATACAGGTATGTAAAAGGTTTTCTTAAACAAATAATTCTTCAAAAGTTTCTTAAAAGAGGACACATTAGAAGATTATCTTATATTTAAGGGTAAACCGTTCCAAGCAACAGGTCTAGCTTCAAAGAATTAGTCCCCCAAAGTCTTGCAAGTTGTTCTTGGGACCACAAGTATAGCTTCTGTTAGTTGGATCTTAAACAATAAGGACCAGCCATTAACCGAAGCACACGTTCCAGATAAATGGGTGCCTCACCGTGTCAGTAGTACTTTGAAAGCGATCGCAGCCCATAATAGGGACCCCATAATAGGGGCCCCACAATTGGAGATTATATCTGTGGCTAGTCCCTGCCCGAATTGTATGTAAATTTTGTAAAGTATATAGTCTTATTTCTGTCTGTTATGTTTGGCGAATCTTGTAAAAAAAAGGAGCAATTTTATAAACCACGCGGTAGCGAACTGGCAACCAATGATGTTTCCTTAAGACGGGCGTGTAATATGCTCACACTTGGGAACAAGACAAACTACTCTAGCAGCAGCTTTCAGAAAATATGCTGCAATCGATTAAACGGATACGGAGGTATACCATACAGAGAGCGACCAAAACATGGATAAGTATTTTAGTTCGGTCAGGGGAAAATAATTCTAATAAACTGCGAAATGCCCTGCTACAAACTTAATGGTCACTGTATAGATAGTTGCTGTCTGGAACAGATTATCAAGAACTTAGTCATGGTGTCATTAATTAACAATCTATGCGTAATTAGGTCAGGCTCAAACATCGACTATGTATATTCCTCCATTGAATTCATGGGATCTTCATGGGAAAACAAAGAAGTACTGTAGGTTTGAAAAGATGCATAGTTGAGTATCGTATGCAAATCCGTGGGCAGAATGAAGATGCTTTGATGATGCTTTTAAATATGTCAGAAGCGTAGAGAAGAAATAGAATATTGTTGTGGACTTTTAACAGGGCGGTCTCGGTAGAGTGAAACGTCCGATAGGAAGATTTAGTGGAACAGTGATCTTAGAGTTAATAGAACTAGGATGAGGTTAAAAATTTTATATAGAATTTTCAAACCGAGGTCTGAATAATTAACAATTATCAACCGATTAGTGGAGGTTAATAATGCAAGCAACCAATCCAATTGCGCGAAAGCACCATCCACCTCCCGTGTATGTGCTAATTCTGGATATTATACGTAAGCAGAATGCAATAATTGTTTTATTATACGTTGAAAAGTACAAGCGAGAAAGACAAGACTGGCTGCCGGTGGAAAAGATGCAATAAATTAATTTCCGAGTTATAGTTCCATATATCTGCTGCGCTATTATATCTGAATGCCGGACTGTGTTCATTTTTAGCATTTTGACAGATCAATTGATTAAGTGAACAGTGAACAGTGAGCAGTGAATAGTGAATAATGACTGTTGAACTGTTTACAACTGTTTCCTTCTTTCCATTAAGGTCGCTGCAGAATGGGGCCGAGGCAAAACGGCAAAAATCTTGATCGCAGAAGGAGCAGCTTGTTGTTTATTGGACATAACGGGTAACTCTGCACTGTGCGTGCTCATTGAACATCTACCAAATCTCGCAGTCGAAGCTCTTAACCAATTGCATATTTCTGATGTGATTACATCGCGTGAATACTACTATTTACAGCATCTCGAAACTTCGCGGCAAAAAGTTGAAACGAAAACAGTGAGAACTCCTCTCGAAACCGCTGTGGCTAATCGCAAATACGAAGTAGTAACGCATCCGGTTATGCAGAGGCTGGTGCATAACAAGTGGAAACAATATGGCTGGTTTTCAACCGCTGTTCACTTGCTTTTTCACGTTGCTTTTGGCATCGCATGGACGGTGTTTTCTATAGGTACTCCAAGACATGGAAAAGAAGTTTACAATGAATTCGTGGATAGAGTTTGGAAAATTACTCTTGGCGTTACTATTCTCCTTATGACTCTGTATGACATTGGAAAACATGTTCAAGGTCAGTATTGTTCTCCACATCAAAATGGATCCCGGTATAATTTATCCATACATTCACGCTATCTATAATTCGTACTTGAAACATGCGGTGAAGTCAATCCTCTCCCCTGATAAATAGCCGTAGGGTTTTGTAGTGAAATAAGAGTGGCTGTAATCTTTCGACAGCCTCGATTTACATACAGATCAGCGGTCGATTATTTGCTTACGAGCTCTACAGATATGATTGTAGGACGAGTGAATTATTCAGCCAATAATTATAGAACAATCATTGCTGTGAGCTTGTTGTGTATGCAAGCTAAAGATTGGTCTTTGAATCATAAGGAGAGCTGTCCATACTTTGATTTGCCACAACCCACTTGATGAGGTTAAACTAAATCAAAACGCCCTATTAGCAGTGTTGTGAATGTTACATGATTTTAAACTAGTTACATTTACAGTTATAACATCAGAAAAATAACTATATGGTTACCGAGAAAAGTCATGATGGAATGAAGTAACTAGTTTACCTATAGTTACAAAGTTACCTTAAGAATTTTGGAACTACTAGTAGTTACCAATTAAGTTACAACTATTCTTAGACGAGAGTATCCTAGACATAAAAAAATCGCTATCTATGTGGAATATAGTATACAGCATGAAATTGAGCGGCCATGTTGTAGCGGATAAGTACAAATCGGTTCGTGGAGAGGTTGCGTGTCTGACAGAACACAAACGTGCATGCTCTATATAGCTTGTGAAACGTAAGCATTCCAATAGTTGTGTTATTAGAAATAATTATAAGAAATTATTCAAGAAGTGATTTTAACTGAGAAAATCTAGGAAATAGTTTATGCAAATCGGGAAAATTTTGTATATATGCATGGAAAAACATTTCATTTCTTCATAATTATTAATAAGTTCTACAATATCGTATGTACACGCGTTTACATAAGCAGTTATTAAAACAATCCAAAAAAGTGATTGAACTACACCTTTTTACTCGACGATCTAACGGGTAAATTAAACTTGAAAATCAACCGAGATGGCGCCCAAAGACAAGTATACTGACGTCATTTACCAGAAAAAATTAGATTAGCAAGTTTTTGTATTACTATCATGCAACATACCTGGCTTTTTAACACTTTCCCAATTTAGCTACGTTCAAGTCACGAAGATCTCAAAGAAATTGGATCAGATGGAAAATGGAACAACTTGAATACGACTTGAAGTATTGCCATCCAAGGTGGCCGCAGGAGAAGAAATTCGTGAAAACCGAAATGAAGAGAGTGCGTGCCTTGCCTTTGTTTGATGCTTACGATGCTTGGTTTTATGTGGACTGGATTATTTTGTTTTTGATCGTTGCTACCATTGCTACACACTTCGTGTTTCTCTACCTGGACACGACGGCCACGTGGTACATCTATACTCGGACAATAAGTATTATGAATCTTCTCGTTTGGTTGCGTTTGTTGAAGTTTGTACGTCCTTTTCCAGGCATCGGGACTTTGGTTTTGATCCTTTCCGAGACTATGGGGGATTTTATGAATTGGGCATTCTTGTTCTTTTTAATCATGGTACCATTCGCCGCTTCTTTCTGGATAAATTTTGGTCCTCGTTCCATACATCCTGTTCACGGGTATCATACGACTGGCGAACTGCTTTATCGTATTTTCCAGATAGCCGTCGGGGATGATTTTAACTTGGAGGAGATTGTAGCAGCAGACGCAGTTGTAGCGCGAATACTTGTTGTACTCTATGTTACTGCAATGACCATCGTCACGTTGAATTTACTTATTGCGTTGCTAAGTGATACGTTTACCCGGGTATACAGCAATGCGGTTTCCAACACTATCATGCAGAGAGCCATAAAAATTGTCGAATCCGAACGGTGCCTGACGAAGAGTCAAAAATCACACTACAAGGAATACATGAGAATGAACTGCAGTCCTGAAATTATCAAAATACAGGTGGCACTATGGAACAAAGGTGAAGAAAGCAAGGCAATCGAAACGGAAGTTTATGATGATATCCTCAATGCAAAGAGTATTTTGAATGACCGTTGTGGGAAAATATACGGCAAAGACAAGACGTCAGATTTTGATGGCTTTATAAAAGATGTTCGGAAAATTTGTCAACATGATGATGATATGGCGAGTGACTTGGAAGAAATTAGAAAGATGTTGAACCTTGGTACTTCAGGTAATTGAATGTTTGTTTTTCAAAAGTATTGTTCTATTTGTAGATGATAACATGGTTCAAATGCAATTTGGATAGAATCGATGCACGAGCTGAGTGAGTTTTTCAAACTAAGACAATCAAAATAGCACAAGCCGCAAACTTTGCTATTATACTTTTTAATCGCCGAACACGCGCGAGTTCCGCAGCGAGGCGTGCAGGGTACTATTTCAGCTTGGCTATTTACACGCGTGGGCCGAAAAGAGAAAAAGAAATACAGTGGGTTAGAAAGTTCATCCGGTTATTTCACTGATGACTGATCTCAAAAAGATGGTGTTGACAAATTCAGACTGTCTGAATTTGTCCTGAAGTAGAAACAGCAGTTTAATGGTGTTGTGAGGTTTTGAGAAATTGTTGACTGATTTCTCGCAGCTATATGAATATCCTCATGCATTTGTTTAAATTTCTCACAAAAATTGGTGAGGGTTGGGTGCGGTAGAGATAATAACGGGGGGGGGGAGTTATGAACCATTTTTGCACTCTGGTGTAGAGCTTTACAAGTGTTAGGGGAGTTAGCATATTGATTAATGATATTGAGTGTCAACTTTATTAGTTCAGTAGCAAACAAGTAATACTATCCCCTTCTAACCACCTTAACATGAAAATGACCACACGTAACAACACGTAACAATACATGTAACAAAAATTTCCTCTTGGATTTAAGGAATTTTACACACGTAACAACACGTAACAGCACGTAACAAAAATTTTTTTAAATAGTATTATAATATTATTTAAAAAAATATTTGTTACGTGTTGTTACGTGTGTAAAATTTCTTAAAACCAAGAAGAAATGTTTGTTACATGTATTGTTACGTGTTGTTACGTGTGGTCATTTTCATGTTAAGGTGGTTAGAAGCGGATAGTATTACTTGTTTGCTACTGAACTAAAAAAGTTGACACTTAATATCATTAATTAATATGCTAACTCCCCTAACACGTGCAAAGCTCTAAACTGGAGTGCAAAAATGGTTCAAAACTCCGCCCTGTTATTATCTCTACCGCCCCCAACCCTCACCAATTTTTGTGAGAAATTTAAACAAATGCATGACGATATTCATATAGCTGCGAGAAATCAGTCAACAATTTCTCAAAACTTCACAACACCATTAAACCGTTGTTTCTACTTCAGGACAGATTCAGACAATCCTGTGCAAAAAGTTTTGGAAAATGCATTTATCCGCAGTTTCTCAGTGATATATGAATTGTTCTTCCCCCCTTCCCCCATATCAATGTTGAAAATTGTTATTTTTGTGTTGCACAAGGTAGTGCTGTCAAGATAATCAACATTCCTAACGGGGGGAGGGGAAAGAAAACAGAGAATGACAGAAAAAATGTTTTCCAAAACATTTTTGCACAGGATTGTAGTTCTTTTGTGTGTTTTGCTTTTCCAAATGGAAATTATTGGGAGGGGGGCTCAATTATCCTCACTTGTTCCTTTGTTCCAGAAGCTTCCACGTTCCCTAGTTCCCTATGATATTTTTGGTATTGTTCCCTTATTTCCATGCAATATAGTCATGTTCCCTTGCTCCCTAGAAATTCCTGGGAGACTTTCTCATGTGCTTGACATGGGCCACCTTTTACTCCTCCGTAACACGTAGTGACTGGAATTCACAGGTAGCAATAACAAGCCTTGGCCAATTTTATCTATATAATCAATCTTTTCAGTGACTGCAATATATTTTAATTGTATAGCAAATATCAACAAACTTTTTATTATTATTATTTATTTTAAAGGCAAACCGACGCATTTCCGCCAAGTCAGAATAAGAGCTCCTGATTCTGCTCGTGAACGTAAGTTTGTGTGTTATTAACTTCAGCCTTACACGTTTGCTTTAATTTCAGATGTATGTAAACACTTTGTCAACTTTTATACTGGCCATTAGAATACCATTAAAGTGAATTGTTTAAACATCAATATTTTATTAAGATTTCACCTAGTTTTGTGGCTTGGTTAATTCAACGTGGGAATATCCCCCTGAGAATTTTTCGGACATTTTGTGACTTCGCTTGTTTCTAGGGTCGGGAGTTTATTTCCACTCCTTTGCGTCCTCCCCGGCATGGTTGGAAATTTGTACTGGCATTCAATGTTCAGTGTTATTAGTTTATTGTACTGTAACGTTCACTGCAATATGTACAACAAATAATTTACAGTGTTCATTAACTGCTAAAAAAGGTTTTGAAGTTGCTCTTTTTCTCGACTTTGACAAATGGTCAAATTATAATATTTATTTGCATTGCTATGTATAGCACTTTTGTTAGTTAAATCGTCTCGAATGCAGTGTTGAATTCGAACCCATTCAGATCTTAGGGTTATATATTGAATTGTTATGTACATTAAGTACACCGAGGATGGTTCTTTTGTTTCTGTACCTGTATTTGGACCCCTTGCGATTCTGTACCTGTATTTGGACCCCATAGTGGATTCTTGCTCATTCTCACTGCCCAACAAATGTCCCAGGAGGAAATGGACACGCATGATTCCAGGCATATTCACGATTCCACTTAGGGAGCCATTTATCAGAACACGAATAACCTCATAGGAAAACAAATACTACAAAACACTGAAATACTGTATAATCTTGACAGGAAAAGTTGGTTCACGCGATAGTCGGTCAACCCAAAAACAAGAATCAAAAGGCTTTGTTTCCACTTTGCAAGAAATGTTACCGCGGTGGTTTACAGGAAACGCGGAAGACAGTTCCAGAGGGAACAAGCGAAGACACCGTCCTAATACCACGTCACAGTCACAGAACGGAGATGTAAAAGAAAGAAGACGCCGCCGACAATCGAGAAGAAGAGGCGATGTGCTGGAAAACAGACGGGAAGAGAGATATCAGTCTCAAGAGACCGAGTTAAGAAGACGGGGACGGCGAAAAAGCAGGAAAAAGGAAAATGTTCTTGAAGGTTATCCAAATCCAGGTTATGATCCTAATCTGGCGTGGGATACAGTCAGTATTGACAGCTCACCGGTATGAACGTGCTTAAATAATGTACGATGTATGTAGTCACATTTTAAAATTGTATATATATTTACTGTACGTTACATCAGCATACTAGGACTTTATCATGCATGATAGTTACAACGTATAAAATACAAAACAAGTAAAACTTCAAAAATCGATAACATTTTTATTTATCTACGTTTCGACTGTATTTCAGTCATGATCAGGATAAACTGATGATGACTGAAATATAGTCGAAACGTAGATAAATAAAAATGTTATCAATTTTTGGAGTTTCACTTGTTTGGTATTTGTTAAAATACTCAGTGGTTCTAAAAAATTTTATAACGTATATCACGCAAATCATATACTGTACCTATGTAGATAGACCGTCAAATCTATAATTTGGGATCCACTTGATATTGCCAAGACTCTGCTGAAGATTTTAAAGTATTTGCAGTCAACTAAAACTTCGTATTAAGAAATGCACGCGTTAATTATAGAATATGTCACACAAATAATGATAATGCTTTTGAAAATGAAATCCACGGTATGGAATAGGTTTGCGAGCTAACTCCATTGCGTTAATTTGTAAGTCTAACTATATGAATGTCAAATCTGGGTTATATCATGTTAATCCAATGCTCTGATTATATATTTTCAGTTGTCGTGATCCACTTGATACCGACTTTCATCATTGGACTTATCAATAATTAATCAGCTGAAAGTTTACAATATATATATAACGCTTGTTTGCCATGCACTAAAAGCGCATGTGCTGATTCTGTACACACAAAATAAACAGTTTAACAATGAACAAGTGTTTATATCTATCTCACTACTTCAAACGTTTGTACAAGTTGAGTAAATACACCAAAATAACAAAGACATGCACCAATCTTTACTATTGTTGCGCCCACATACAACATACCTTTACAGTACCTTATGCTTTCCCAAGATAATGTGATCACTTATTTACTGAGACCGAGGGAAACAGTGTGTTTTGTGGACCCGAGACCGTCGATGTCGAGGGTCCACAAAACACACTGCTTTCTCGAGGATATCAATAGTCAAAGAAACAACAAATTAAAGAACAAATGAGCGTAAATACATGAAATACTTTATTGTTAAAACGTTATGTTAAACACTGGCTACACTGCAGTTACTTAAAGCGAAAGTTTTAATTACGTACTAGGCATGTCCAAAGGTCGCATCTTCACGTGATGGCGAACGATTTTTTTTGTTATTCGCCGGTCGATAACGTATTATCTCCCTCTCGCGCTGTTGCGAGCGAGACAGCCTAATTTCGTCACTCTCACGTGATATGCTCTCAACCAATAAAACACTAGAAAAATGCGACTTTGACTATTGATATATAATAATTAAAATTGTCTAACCCGTAATAAAAGGTAAACTTTTAAAGAACGAAAAAATTTCAATGGCGTAAAAGGTATATAGATCTGGGGTTGTCTGACCACAGTTTGATATATGCGGTTAGGAAATTTACTGTGGCAAAATCTAAATCAATTGTGAAAGAAGTCAGAAACTATAAGCACTTTCATGCTGATTGTTTTCTTGGATACCTAGCTATGATGCCTTGGCATGTAATTTATCAGGATAGTAATCCAAATGAATGTTGGAGGGTATGGAAATCATTTTTTAATGAGGTACTAAATATATATGCACCAATCCAACATAAGCGTATAAAAGGAAATTCTATTCCCTGGATTACACCAGAAATTAAATATATGATGAGAAACAGAGATTATCATAAAAAACACGCAATAAAACACGCAATAAAACATGCCTCCGAGTTGCATTGGAAGAGCTATCAAGTCCTACGGAAGAAGGTGAATGTTGCAATGTGAAATGCAAAATCCAAATATTTCCACGATAAAATATATATTTGATTGTTCCATGATGAATGATCCAAAAAAAAACTTGGAAAATAATAAATTCGTTGATGGGGAAGAATGACAAATCTAACAATGTAAATGAGTTATTGGTTTATGGCAGATCAATCTCTGATTCTACAACTATCACCAATGAATTTAATGATTATTTCATTAATATTGGGGCGAAACTAGCAGCAGAATATGATGATGATTCCTGCTCTAATTATTCCTGTTCTAATGATAATCAGCCCATAAATTATAATCAGCCCATAAATTATAATGGTAATCAATTATCAGATACTTCTCTAAAATTTTCTCCAATACTTGTTGATAATGTCATCTCGACTTTAAAAGCCTTAAAAACATGTAAAGCAACAGGTTTGGATCAAATTCCGGTTAAATTATCTGTCGACATGGTTGCACCGTCGTTAACATTTATCTTTAATCTGTCGCTTACAACAGGCATATATGTTGATGAATGGAAACAAGCACGTGTGACACCAATTTATAAATCTGGAGATAAAAGGCTCTGTGAGAACTATCGACCAATTTCTGTATTACCGATAGTGAGCAAAGCCTTTGAGACGGAAGTTTTCCGTGAAGTTTATACATACCTGTCTGTGAACTCTCTACAGGGTGTATCAAAATAAACGCAATTCATCTTTTGTGCTTAATAACTTTCTAAATACTACTTCGAGTTAAACGCTTTTGGGCTTACTTCAAAGCCTGTTCTTTTCTCTTTCAAACAAACTATTATCCTTGTCTCTAATGCTAGTAATAATTGCACAGGAAAAGATTTAGTAAAACCTATCATTTTTAGTTGCTGTTTAATTATGCAAGTTTACTATGTTATTGTTTAGTCGGTTTAAATGTTAGAATTTTCTTCTTTAAGCTTTAATGTTATCGTCACTACATCTGGAAAACCACGTAAGAACAAATTAAAAGTATTTTAAAAGAGACCATCATGCAGGTTGTTTGAAAATCCTAAACGAATGTTAAAAATCGTCAAAACATTCTGGTGTCTGAGCCAGAGTGTCATCGAATTGCGATGTAATGTAAACAGAAATTATAGCAAGTTGATGTCAGTCAGCTTAGATGGTCCAAGCCAAAATTATATTGCATTTGAAGTTTCAAACTGAGTTAAAAATAGTGGAAGAAAAGCCGTAATTATACTTATTGTTACAATCCATTTAATAAAATGCAACATTTTTTTGTTTTAATGAAAAAATCAGTTATTTTCATGAGAACGATTTGTTATTCCATCTCAATTTTTTAATCTCCAATCGCAATAACGTAAAGTATTATTACCCGCGAACCAATGAGTCAAATTTAAGAAACAACCCACTGTTAGAAAGCTGAATGGCTACGCTTTAAAATGAATGTAAACTTCAACGTTTTCGTCTATTATTTGTTTAGCAATTTACATTTCAGTCGAGGATTGCGCTTTTTTTGATACACCCTGTATATTGTCAAAATTTCAACATGGTTTTCGACCAAAAAATTCAACTGTTATTGCCCTTATCCAACTGTGTGATGAGTGGTTAAAAAACAGGGACAATGGACGATGGTGTTATGTTTCTAGACATTAAATTCGATTCTATCAATCATCTTGTTTTATTGAATAAAATGAATGAACAATTTGGAATCTTTGGCTCGGAACTAAACTGGTTCGAATCAACCTCGTACCCAGCCCTGGGTATGAGGTTGGGTTCGAATCATGTTTAATAATGAATAGAATACATCAATGCAGAATTAATGGAAAATTGTCTGACAAAAAAAAAATTAACTGTGAAGTGCCTCAGGGTTCTATTCTGGGGCCCCTGTTATTTTTATTATATATATTAATGATCTGCCTGATTGTCTGAGATCAACCGCTCCTTGCATGTATGCGGACACACTCAAATATTTTCATCGTCTTATGATGCAAAAGAACTTGTGGTAAAGCTAAATTCGGACCTTGCTCATGTTTTTGAATGGATAAAAGAAAATAGATTGCAGATACATCCAACTAAATGTAAAATTATGTTTGTTGGCTCCACGCACAATCTTAATAAATTAGGGTGTGAAGAGCCTATTATGGTAAATGCAAAACCCATACCACGAATCAGTACACAAATGTGTCTGGGAATAAAATTCGATAAAAATTGAATTGGGACAGTCATATTACATTGATATGCAAGAAAGTAAGTGCAGCTATATTGGCGCTATGAGACGTATGAAACCTTTTGTTCCGATGCATACATTAGAATCTGTTTATAAAAGCTTGGTACAGCCATACTTTGGTTATTGTTCACCTTTGTGGGACACTTGTGGCAAGTTGTTAAGAGATAAGCTCCAAATTATGAGTCTCGGTTGGTTGATGTTCTTAACTAACTCTCGTGGGACACTCTTGAAAAGATGTTCCGGTGCCAAGTCAGTATTGATGTATAAAATACTTAATGACCACACTGCGCCGGCTCTTCGGGGGTCTTTTGTGGGAAGAGAAATGGATCAAACTAATTACAGTCACAGCAATACTGCAACAGACCTTACATTACCTAAGCCGTAGCCTATCGAACTCGAAGGGAAGATGGCTGTGAAACTCATTAGAATAACAATATAACTCATTATCTATGTTGGTCAACGTTTATTCATAAATCTGGTCCTTCACCGTCTCGTGTGTATTGTATTCTTGCCCAACTGACCAATAGCAATGTTTTAGGAAACTCGCCTATCCGTGACTCGAACAATAGGGAAACTGGAAATTGCTATTGGTGGATTTGGTAAAAATACAATACACACGTGACGATGAAACGACCAGATTTATGAATAAACGTTGATGAGTTATATTGTTATTCTAACGAGTTTCACAGCCATCTTCCCTTTGATAGGCTATGCCTAAGCCAAAAAGAGAATTTTTAAGAAAAAGCTTTAAATATAGTGGTGCTTTGCACTGGAATCAGCTCCCAAATGAAGCGAAACTAGCAAGTTCGCTTCACTCGTTTAGATTAAATGTTTGATAGTGACATGCATACATCTGTATATAGAAAAGTGTGTATATATAGTATTTAGATATAGTTATTTATTTATTTATTTATTTTCAAACATTTTTAATATTTAACACGCCCCTCATAGAAATCAGTCCAGAGTTGATGGGGCTAGCGTGTTCCTTTTTGTTAATTTTAAATAAAGTATTGCCTGCCAATCTCGTTCCCAGAGTATGCCTGTTCGCGGGTTAGGTTGTGTCGGCAGCATTGATGATCACGGCAGCCAATCAAATAACGATTTCGATTCGATTTCCCCAGAGTCATGCCACAACCTAACCCGCGAACAGGCATACTCTGGGAACGAGATTGATTGCCTGCCTGCCTGTCTGCCTGCCTGCCTGCCTGCCTGCCCGCCTGCCTGCCATGCAACTGTTTTTCAAGATTGCATGTAATCTTACGTCAACGAAGTGTTTGTCGCGGATAATCATATCTGCATTGTTGTCAGAAATTTCCCTTGTGCGAGAAACGATTCATAGATAAAGTTCTACCTGTGATTATTTGTACTATAGTATGCTCATTAGATAATGTTTGTTCTACCTGTGATTATTTAATTAATTCTGCACTGCAGTACATACTCCAGCCCCCCCCCCCACCATGGTGACCCCTCCCACTCAACCATTTCACTCCCCCCAGACAAAGTTCCTTTTCTCTAAAATATAATCAAACATTGGAAGAAAAATGGAATTTAGAAGAGAGGTTTGATATTCTAGTAACTGAAATTGCTTCGTGAATCCTATGTCCAGTCTCTTGTCTTCAAATGATTCAATGTGTTTTCAAAAATGCTAAGCATTGTGTTGTAAATATATACCTTATATTTTAAAAATTTCCCAGTTGATAGCATATCCGAGATACTATAGATTAAAGTTGTTGGAAGGTTAGGCTACACAAGTTAGTAACGGAGTTGTGGTATTTACATAAACATACCATGCAAGTACTTAACTAAAGGCAAATGTAAATATTTAACAAAGTTTATACAAAAAGAAAACTAAAGATGCAGTCTATCTACAGTATAACATAACGCTGTATATCCAAAAATGTGTTTCAGAAAACGCACGAAATGCAGTCCCAGGGGTGGAAAAATACAACAATGTTTTTGGGGAGAATGCCTTCACACCCCCTATACTATTACATACGACACCATGCAAACTGTTTGTCACAACAACTATCTTTCATCTCTTCACACTCAGTATAGTACGGCCCTTTTTTGTAGATGCCCCTCCCCACGAACGAATTCTTAGAGAAGACCCTGACATACTAATTCCAAAACAAAAGTAATACAAACATTTTCGTGATCAACATTCAGTCATTACCTTTTGAACTCACCACTACAAGACTTCTAGTAAAAAACGCCAATTAATTATGGTATCATCAAGCTTACAAAATACAAACGTAACTTCTATACTCCTCCATCATTGGATGAACAAATGCAAAATATGATGCTAAGTATATATTGCTCTCTATATTAATAAGCGTCTTTCGAAATGTCAAATCGATCTAAAACTAATTACGACAATAATAGATGTTCCAGGCGATTTTACCATCAGTCCCGAAACGTACGCGTAGCTCATTTGCAACTTCATTCCATGCCACACGCTCGTCGGCCTTACCGCAACACCAGGTGGCCTCTGTTTGAAGATGGGGTAAAGGAACGACGACTTCCCCCTGCCCCATAAATATTGTTCGCCCAGCAACCCTCATATATGTCGGACCACGACACCTGTCCAGTGTGTGTTCTACAAAATCGCACCATCGACCTTCTGTGAGGGGGAACATGAACAAAAAACTGCATACCAGTATGATGGCAATCAATGGATTGCTAAGCACCTTCATTTTGGAATCTGCGGATCGAGTCGATGTTGTCAAAATAGAACGTCGTGGCAGCTATAAGTAATGAACAAAAAATTTGGTTTCAATGACCCATATAGTTAGGGCACGATATTTTTATTGATATTGGATGCTATCCAGTGCCCAAACTGGGTTGGACTAAGAATCGAGCCTGTTTATACCTATGGTCTATGGTTTACTAGTCCGACGCTTTACCAACTGAGTAACAAAGTCAAGTTGGGAGTAGGGCGTGGGGAGATGGTATTCGTTCAATAACTAACAAAAAATCAAATGTGGTACGTTCATTTGTACTTGTGTGACAGTCGACTTCACTTCAAACATCGCAGGACAAAGAAGCATAATTACTGCTTTTTAATTTTGAAATATATCGACACAAAAAGTTAATATATATATATATATATATATATATATATATATATATATATATATATATATATATATATATATATATATATATATATACATTCCGCCTCTTCGACATTTTGAAAATGAAATTTTCAAACGGCACGCCGTCGCGACATTTTAAAAATGGGAATCAAGGATTATTTTTAATGTGGACTTGTCTGGCAATTTTTGTTCGTTACTGTGACTTAAATACATGCATGCATGTATATTATATACGGCCAAGAAATTAAAACACGATAGGTTCTGGACATACCTGACAAAAATGCTTTCCTAACTCTTTCTCTGTTTCCTCGAGAGTGTTTGCTCAAAGGCACACTTGGGTCAACTCGTCGCTCCTTTTTATGTTGTCTTTTACCTTGATTAGCATGCAGACGGGCACACAGGATGTGTACGGCAATTGAATGCCCTACCGTCATTGATTGCGTGCAGAAGTGGGGAAATAATGTGCCGACATTCCAGAGATAATCATCACCATCAATGTAGCTATTTGGGAAAGATAGTGTCATTAGCTATCTATTTTATATTTTGTTCCGAAATACTAAATCTTTTTGCCACGTTAGACAGGCGGTGAGTTCACTAAAAAATGAATGGTACTTACAAAGCGTTTCACGTTGTCAGAGTCAAAGTGAATCAGTTTCTGTAATCATTGCGTAATTAAATTCTGTGAATTAAACCAACACTCCATCTCGAAATACTTGTTGACGCTCACTTCAAAAATAGGAACAAATCGCACAGAAGAACAAAGAAACGGGAGTAATGAAATCACAAGAACATTCTTCTGCACGAAATGTTATAGTGATCAAGAGAAAACCTGGTTATGCTACACCGCATGCTTTATATCTCAGCTATGTATAGTAATAGACAATTATCGATCCCATTATAGACTAATTTTAAAACTATGCAAATGAATAGTCCAAATGTGGCTGCAATTTCCGCACGCAATACAGAAGTATACAAAATTTGCGAACTTTGCAAGGCTATATTTTCCGCATTTTACAATATTTCGCAACCAAACATTGCAATTTTACTCATTTTAGTATGCTCTTTCCGGGAATATACTTATTTTGCCAAGATAAAAATTAGTCTTTAATGGGAATTGTCTATATTGAAGAAAATAACAATTCATAAACTCTTTATAACAGTAGCGATTGATACACCGGGTGGAAAGCGTAATTTAAAAAGCCCAGCAATGACTTTCAGACAAGACATAACTAGCTAACGTTTCGTTGTATTGTTTACAACATCAGAGCAATTATACTTCTGAATATATACAAATAGTTTCAAACGGTTACAATATTCAAATAACCGAATAAGAAGAAAGGATGAAAACAGTAAAAAAATATAGTAAAAAATATTTAAAAAATATTAGTAAATATATAAAGGATATAAATTATAGTGGTTAGTAATTATAGAGTAGCAAAGCATTAAAATAGGTCAAAAAGAGATGACCTGTTGGCTGTACGTTGACCTACTGTTCGCCGATTTAAAATAGGATGAGCTTGGCCTTGGACATATGAAAACGCTTTCGCGAATGAGTAAATCTGCTTCAAAACTAGCAGTGGAAAGCCTTACAGGGGGTAGATCCTCAAACTGAAAGTGATTAACAATTATTGGATGAGGTTTTTGTGATATGCTGAATTATCAAGGTCGAGGTAATCGTTATCAGCCGAGCCGAAGGCGAGGGTGATAACGCTTACCGAGACTTTGATAATTTTGCATATCGCAAAAACCGAATTCAATAAGTGTTTTATCACATATTTGTTTTTGTTAAGTAGATACCTCTAGCTAATTATCGCAGGCTCATTTGCAGATAACTCAGTTATCTGCTAGCAGATAACTGAATTTTCTGTAGGTTGCGTGATTGCGCGATTTAACTGTAAGCTCTTAGTCAATCAAATTGCTTTTACCAACTACAATGTATAATAACTTCATTAATTATTCGGTTTCCTGAACGTAATAATTCCAAAAGGCGGAACAAGACAATTTAGCTAGTAGTACTAAATATAAAAGAACAAGTACAATGGTCGAATATTGATACGACAAGAAATCATCTGCCAAAACATTTAGCGAGCTATACTAGCTTTTTAAATCTTTATATATTTTACAAACGAATGTCCACATTACTTAAAAATAATTTAAACTGTGTGTTGATACAGGGTGTCCCAAAAAAGTCCCCCATCATATTTTTTGGTACCACATCGTTACCTGTAATCGAATATTCAATTTTTTTAATTTTTTTATCAATGAACATATTACGTTAATCATATTTTCGCACCAAAATATTTAATCGTTCGCCTTCTAGAGTTAGTTAATGGACCATTTGCATTATAGACTAAATTTTGATCTAGACAAACATTTTATCACAGCTGGAAAGAGCATCGCAACATTAGTAACATTCCAAAGTTTCGTTGCGAAATGTTGTAAATTGCGGATAATATAGCCCTGCGAAATTTTCAATTTTCAGTCATTTTGTATTACAAACGGGAAATTGATGCCCCAACGCCCGATTGGGCTGTCAATTTCCCTTGCGTAAAACAAAATGACTGAAAAACGGCAAACTTCGCAAGGCTGTATTATCCGCATTTTACAACATTTCGCAACGAAACTTTGGAATATTACTAATTTTGTCATGCTCTTTCAAGCTGTGATGAAATTTTTGTCTAGATCAAAATTTAGTCTATAATGCAAATGGTCCATTAAGTTGGCGACACCAATATTGCCACTTGTCCAAATTGTGGATATTAGATTTAAACATATTACGGAACGTAACAAAATATTTTAATGGTAAATGGCTACATATCTTTTCTAAAACTTGTAATTAGTTGTAGCCAAAATTGCGAATTAATTTTCTGTAAAAATAATGAAGCAAATCCCCAGAAAAGGGGAAAGACTAGTGCTGAAATCCCAACATTTGCTCTTTTATGGAACAAATTGAACGGGAAACAGCAAATTTAAGGCATTTTACCAACCTTAGATTTGCCTTTGTCATTTTGCCAGAGATTTTTCATCTTTTTTATTAATTTCTACAAGAAACAAAAGTTTAATAATATAATAGGGATAAAGGTATTTACATTGAGCAGAAAGGTGGGTAGAAACTTTAGAAATCCTTCTAGAAAGTTCGCATTATTTTTAACCTAATTTCTGTAATTTGGACGAGTTGCAAAATTGGTGTCGCCACCTTATTAGTATCTCTAGAAGCCAAACGGTCTTTTGGTGAGATAAACACTACGATTAATATAATATGATTGTTTTTCAACCCACTGCAAAAAATTGAACCTTTAATTAAATATAGCGAAGTAATACCACCAAATATGACAGGGGACATTTTTTAGGGACACCCTGTATATCTATGACTATGTCTTAATTACAAAATTACAAAAATTCTACGCAGAAGAAACAATAAAATTTGTAATCCAATCTAAGCATGTGACAGAAACTGCCCTCTTGCAAAAACAACTCAACTCAGAGAAACTGATTTAGCAGCTATTACCGAGCTTGTCTTTATGTTGTTGTTTCGGACGAATAAAAGGAAACAAAATGTTATTTTTTCCGCAGAGTTGAGCCATAATCATTTCTCTTAATTACACCTGTTTCCCCGAGGGTGAGTGGATTTTGAAACGATATTACCATTAACTACTAGGTCTCCTGAACGGATTTGACGGCAAAAACCACTATTTCACCCGAGATGTTGTTACGATACTACAAAGGAAATAGGCATGCTCTGCCGCATGCTCATCTCAACTGGCAATTTAGCATTTCTAGTAATTGAAAAAACGACAATTCATAAACTCTTTACAGTTTACTTCCGTTCCGCGTGGTGAATAACTATTAAACCAGGACTGTGGAAGGTTAGTAAGTTTTATAAATAAAGCTTTCAGTTGTCTTAAAATGTAGACCAAAAATTCAACCAAGAAACATTTAACTTTGTAGACCGAACATGTCGACGTTACAGAAACTGCCCTCATGCTACAACACTCCAACTCAAGTCGTGTTTACACTACTTTGGCCTGGCCTTGGGCTACACTTTGACAGTGTAAACGTATACAGACCTTGGCCTGACCTAAGCCAGGAAAACTTGGCTCACTACAACCGGTGGCCTAGGCCTGGCCTGGGCTTGTGGAAATGTAAACACTTTCGGCGCTGACCTGGGCTTTATTCAGTTCCATGGCAACGTGTGCCCGCGCCGTGAGAGATTAGCGGCCAGCCGGCGGACAACGTCACAACACATAAAAATACGCAAAATTAATTTTATATTTTTTGGGCCAAATTGAGGCAGTCTCAAATGCCCGTGTAATTGTGTAAACGCGCCACATTTGCCTTGGTCTAAACCAAGGCCAGGGCAAGGCTTGTAGTATAAACACGACTTCACACTACTTGGGCAGGTCTTGACAAAAATACACGCATATACAATGTCGGTTAGAGTCTTATTTTCTGATTTCATGTATTAAAATAATTATGCAGCATTGTATTCGGCTGATGAAAAGTTCAACGTTTGAATTATAATTAACGTCCCACCAGAATCGTTTTATTCGACTTGACTGGTGGAATAAAACGACATGGAGAGTTATTTGCTTCAGCGAATAATCAATTTATTGTTTCCGTGGGAATTTTGTAGGGATATTTAAGGATTCGGGGTAGCACGCAAAATGAGGTTATGGAGGGAACCTCGCAGGGAATCTCGTTCAACCAGTTTTATTTCCAGTGGAATTTTGCAACGTACACATCAGTGAATTTCCATGTCACGCTTCACGTGCATCTTGGGCCTACTATATAAAAAACGTTGAGCGTTAACAGCTCATGATCATTCACCTTTGGCTTCGCAAGGCAAGTTTTCAAGTCCCCACAAGTTTTCCTTTCCCTCACGCCCACCCTTGCCTCATTTTGCGTCCTACCATACATGTTACCGGCGGTTTTTGCATATGGGGCGTTTTTTAACACCCCACCTTTTCTGTGCTATGCATGAATACAAAATTTGTAACATTTAGCTGTAATTTGTTATTTTTGTGTTAATCATTAAATCGGCATTGTCCTCCTGCACATTGCCATTATTTTATCCAGAACGGTGTACTGTCATTGATCGTTTGCATGCAGTCCATCGCACAGAATACGGAGCTCATCAGGCTGACAATTTGCCGCTAAAGTTTAAGTTTTATGGATTGCTTGCTACCGCGGAAGCGATAAAAGATACTTCATCCCTTATAGATCATTTTTATACAACAAACACCAACCACGTTATTTCTAGTGGTGTGACAGCTATCACTATCAGTGATCACTATTTGATCTACGGCATTCGTAAATTTAAATCTTTTAAACAGTCTCTACGGTTTATTGAATACCGGGATTTTAAACACTTCAATGAACAAGATTTTATCTGTAATCTAACATCGTTATCAAATTTGAATCTCATCCATTCTGATCCTAATAAATCTTGGACGATTTGGAAAAACAAATTCCTAGAGATTGTAACAGTAAACAATTAATACCGTGGTTAACGAATGATCTTATTTTAAAAAAGCGGGAGAAGACATATTTAATGGGTTTGAATATCAGGTATGCTAACAGTAACAATGGGTTTGAATATCAGGTATGCTAATGTATAAGTGTCAGAGCTTCAGCATCTGATAATAATAATAATGGTAATAATAATGGTATTTTAATAACACATCATCGCATGAAAATGAATTACAATGTGTTTTACAATTGATTTGAATGGGAATTACAATACTAAAAGTAACTATATTACAATATATCATTAGATTATTAAATAAGAACTTATAACTAAGAACAATTATTTGTTTAAAACACTAATCATGCTAGGGAAAAAACTATTACCAAATCTATCAGTTCTACATTTAAAAGAAGCGAATTGTTTGAAATTCCTTAAATTATACACATGTTCGTTCTCACTGGTGAGAGTTAGATGGGAAGAAAGACGACTGCCCAATGCAATATTTTTCATCGTCTTTTCACAAAGTTCACCTCGACGTATATCCAGCCTAGGACACTGCAACATTTCTTGCGCTTCACCGTAGGATCGACCTGGCAGTATAATCCTCAGTGCACGTTTTTGAATTTTTTCGACTTGTTCAGACAGATACATAGGTAGACCACAATGCCATACTGTACAACAATATTCTAATGTAGATCTAATCAATGCATAATAAATTGTGATAAGGTCGTGCGGTGGAATCCCTCACCGTCGTAGGACACGTAGGATATGCAGTCGCTTGGACGCTTTGGTAACAATCATCGAAATATGTTCGTTCCACTTAAGGTTATCCTGGATAATCAATCCAAGAACCTTGTGCGACGATACACATTCTAAGATCTGGTCTTCAACACACAAGTGTGGTAGTTCAGGTTTGTTCCGAAAGAAACAAATTTGCATCTCTTTGCATTTCTTTGTGTTCAATTTCATCAGGTTATTAGATGCCCATGTAGCTATAGAAGTTAAATCGGACTGAATTACAGACGGTTCTCCATTCCTTAATAATCCCTCAGAGATAGTAACATCATCAACGAATTTCCAATTGCCAGACCTCCCCGAACCGCATTGTAAATCATTGACCATAATTAAGAACAGGATCGGACCCAACTTCGTACCTTGGAAGACACCGGCTGTAACAGGAAGCCAACAAGAAACAGCTTCCGCAAGTTTGACCCGCTGTCTTCGCCCTAATAGAAAGTTTACGATCCATGGTATTAACGATCGCCTAACGCCAATATCAACAAGTTTTTGGATAAGAATGTTATGGCCAATACGATCGAAGGCCTTTGAAAAATCCAAAAAGCATATGCGAAGAAAATGACCAGTTGAATCTAAATGAGAAAGCCAACAATGCAACATGTCGAGCAAACAATAGGTCGTGGATGAACCCTTTAAAGAACCGAACTGTTGTGCGTCAATATTATTCCTAACGTCAGAGATCATCCATCTAACGACAAAATCCTCGAGAACTTTAGAAAGGCATGGCGTTAGTGAAAAGGGTCTTGTGTCACCCTCGTCAGTTGGTTGTTTAACTTTTGGAATGGGAATAATATGTGAGTCTTTCCATATATTTGGAACAATCCCGGATGCAAGTGACATATTGAAGATTTTCGCAACTGGTTCAGCGAAAAGGTGCGCAAATTCCTTCAAAAGGCGACCTGGAATATTATCAGGACCACATGTTTTGGAGGCATTAACGACCAATAATTTCTCACAGACTTCGTGCGCTTCGATGTAAGGCACTTGATCAACAGCAGGTAAGTATGTTGGAAACGTGGTTATATCTAGTGGTGGAATGTCTGCGTTAACCGAGATGTAAAACTTGTTCAAGTTATTGGCCAGTTCTAAATCTGATAATAATTCACCTTCCTTTTCAAAGGTAGGTTTAATGCACTTCTGAGATCGGCCAGACAACTTATTTACGACTTGCCACCACTTTCTGCAATCGTCTTTCTTAAGATGTTGTACTTTAGTTTTGTAATATTCTTTCTTTCTTATGGCTATTTCGGTCTGGACCTTATATTTCAATGTTCTCCACTGCAGAACATCTCCACCATGGAAAGCTCTTTGACGGTCATTAATGAGCTTTTTGATAGACACAGACATCCATGGTTTATCGGAATGGCAAAACCTAACAGATTTCAGGGGAATAAAACTGTCAAATGCTGTAGATATTTGGGATGAGAAGGAATTAGCTAGGTCATCTACGGAAGGGCTTGGACCCAGATTACTGAACCATTGATGCGTGCTGGCCCATCGGCCGAAAGAATTCAAGGCGGATAGCGGATAGCGGCGTATAAGACGCTTAATCGGTTTAGGTTTGGTAATAGCATCAACTTTATTAGGAACCCATCGTACTATATTATGGTCAGCAGACCCAAGCGGAGCAAGAATATGCGGCTTGTCATAAAAATCTTGTAAATCGGTGACGATGAGATCAAGGGTAGAAGACCCCCTTGTAGGAGCAGAAACGACTTGCTTCAAACTAAGACTACGGGTTAGGTTCGAAACATCAAAATTATTAAAATCACCAAGGAATACGATTCTACAATTAGGATAACAATTCCTAATGGAATCCGTTGTGTTCATCAGATATTCATCAAGATCACGTTGTTCTTCAGCAGTTCTGCCAGGGGGGTTATACACAACGCAAAATGCAATAGCCGAGAGAGGTCTTGGCAGTCGTGTCGGGCGGATCCATAACCAAAGACATTCAAAATTCGGATTTTCAAAATCTAGTCTCCGTTGACAGGGAATGTTTTTCAAAGAATAAACGCACACACCACCGCCCCGGCTACCTGTACGATCGTTACGGTGGATATTATAGCCACTGATTGATATTAAGCTATCATCAACATCCTTGTGTAGCCACGATTCTGTTATAGTCACTAGATCCACTGGGTTACCATCCAGAAGTACAGCAAGTTCGTCGATCTTAGGCAATAACGAGCGGGCATTTATTAGGCCAAAGCTTGGAAGTGCATGAGGTTTAGAACGACTAGTAGTTTCTATAAGATTATTGTGCCTCATAGACTGATGAGTCATAGACTTCGCGTTTTCAGCCAATTTATATGTTTCACTAAGCCTCAGTCAAATATGCTTTTAATAAACGAAAATCAGTTTTAATCTTAAGGACAGAACCTGTTAGGAACACTACAGTATATTTATAAATACCAGCCGACTTCCGTGATTTGCCAATCGGTAAACTGCTATTAGAGGCTGAAATAATACATTCGATACTGTATTCGTCTCGCGGTAATAAATGTAAAGCGCATGCAGTGACTTGAATTCTAGTTTACTAATCTGAAATTTTCGATTCTACTAATCTTTAGTTTAATTTTGTAGCGAAAACATATACACGCTTACACGCGGTAGTAAATACCATAGTAATCTGGTGCTACCAAGAACCAATTAGATTACTGTAGTTGCTGTGTATAGCGGAAAACATTCTATATAGATATACGATAATGAGCCATTCGACTATTCGGTAGTAAATCTAAAGGCGCATTGATTTTGATATTAGAAAGCCGATTGTTAATTCCACATTTCAAATATATTACATTCAGTCGCGTGCTGCCACAGGATGATTATAATTATATGACATAAGTAGTTCAAATGTCGAAAAAAAGCATGCAGTTTTATTAAAATACTCAGTATCATAACGGTAATACCCATCTACGACTCTTAATTTTATCCATGTATGTTTATGTCCCATGTAACCGCACAACTCATTATATGGACTTATTAACAGTATATCATACCTTTTTCCAAGATCCAAACACGCGATCTGCAGTGGACCGATTTCGTTGACGAACAAGGTTATATAGGCTACTCACTACATTATCGCTACAAATTCGTAAATGCGCCTCATTGACCATATGATTAGTTAAGGTTTATGAATTATGATCGTTTCATATCCGCCAAATTGCACCCTCGTCGTTTGGTCACGATGCTCAAGCTTTGTTGTTACGTATCCATATCGAAAGCATCGAATTTTCATTTTCAAAGTTTGACATACTCTCGCTAATAGTTTATGGAAAAACATTGGACAAAAGGTTCTCTCCCGATTCATAGTCATATAGAGAAACATTACACAAATATTTAACAGTTATTCTACGAACTCGAGTCGAATATGAGCTGATAGCCGATGAGGCGCGTAGCGCCGAATCGGCTATCGCTCATATACGACGAAAGTGAGTGGAATAACTGTTTTATTATATACACAAGGTCTGAATTCACAGACTTTGCTTTTCGAATATTTTCAATATTTTTCTATTTTGTTTATGTTTTTATCTTCGCTCTTTTGGCCGATTATTTTTTCAGAAATATATATTTTTAACCATTTTAAATTTTAAAAATTTATTTGCTAACCTGAAAACAATTTGTGGAAGTTTTTTCATTGTGTTTTTAATCCTGTGAAGGCTATAAAAAGCGACAACTTGCCGTTTTCTTGTTTGCAAAACATCGTAAATTCAGTTTGGCCGCCATTTTGTTTTTCTCTACTAGCAGGATATGAGCTAATATCCTGCTAGTAGAGAACCAATCAGATTGCAGAATACCTCATATCCAGACCTTGTGTATATAATAAAAACGTTTATTCATAATAATGACTATAACCGTAACAATGGGTTTGAATATCAGACATGGTAATTTTCAGTGCCATGCAGAATCTATATCTGATGAGTCATCGACATCGCGTTTTCAGCCAATTTATGTTTCACTCAGTCTCAGCCAAATATGTTTTTATAAAACGAAAACGAGTTTAAAGGTAATTGAGTTGCATGTTGAAACACAAAATAATAATGATTTTATGTGTGTAATTGAAAAGTTTTCATCAATAAAAATGAACTTTTACTGTTGCTACTACCAAAATAAATTTTCATTGACATTGACAAACAGTGTTGTAATGTGCGGCCAATATTATATACTTATCAGTTATAGACCTGAAACGAGGGGTATTCCACAAAAAATTACCCTGAGGGATGAAATATTCCGAGGGAGAAGCCCGAGGAATATTTCATCCCGCAGGGTAATTTTTTGTGGAATACCTCGAGTGAAAGGTCTATAAATGGCATATTATACCGAACCTTTCAAAAATAAGTAGAAAACAAATACCATTCAATTAACTTTTAATTTCAAAACACAACTTTTGATAACTTTAGGCGACGGACTAAGTTCAAAGTCGAATTTCCCGCTCAAGCGTGGTATTCGAAGTCGAATACCATGGCCCCGGGTAAAACACCCAGGGTTCAAATTGCCTAGGTCATAGTATTCGCTGAAAAATACCATGGTCATGTGGTACAAATTTAGTTCTCTGATTGGACAAGCTCATTGTGAGGTATAATATTGCTGCATATATGCTAAATAAAAACGGCAACACTTTTCTTAATAATATCGCAGTATTTCTTTTTCTCAAATTTTTGTCGACTCTGTTTTCCAAAGCCGTTGCTACGGGTTGCGTTAATGACTGTTTGGGAATTTCCGCCGACAGGCACGACACGCGTCTTACACTCATCGCTTTTCAAAACAGCAAAATAGCGGGCAAAAGCAGTCAATACAATATGTCTATACATTCATTATAAACGTCGGGAATATTTCGAATATACAAAACGTATACTCTTGCTACAGTGACAAGCAAATGAAGGATCTACAGATGAAGTCGAATTCAATGGTTTGGACTATGACAGCTCTATAGTTTTGAAGCTCCATAGTAAGTGCTGTTGTTGTAGCCGCAAATGTCAAAACTTTCATGGCTTCCCGTTCTAAATATACAGGTTAATTAATAACTCTCTCTCTCTCGAGCATACGCGGACAATTTCGAGTCGGCATTTTAAAACGCAAATTTGCCTCGAATTAAATTTGTAATCGTCTGATAACTTCGGAAAATTAAAACTGAAAGACGCTTAGATGCGAAAATGGGAAACGATAGTTAATTTCCGATTACGGGACAAACAAATTGCGGTGCTGTCTCGGCAATGGTCGACTGAGGTTTTTGTTTAAACGCGTTCAAACCTTACTCAACTTAATAGATTAAACCTCGGTCAGACCTCACTCAAACCCCGGTTAACCTAGGTTAAACCGAGGTCAAACCGAGTTCTAACCTAGGTTTGAGCGAGGTCTAACCTAGGTTTGACCGAGGTCTAACTTAGGTTTGACCGAGGTCTAACCTACGTTTGACCGAGGTCTAACCTAGGTTTGACCGAGGTTAACCGCGGTTTTTGTTAGGTTATATAATAATAATAATAATAATAATAATAGTGGGTTTATTAATACACGTTCAATAGCAAGCTAAATTACAACGTGTTTACATCGTCAGATATTAATTAGAATTAATTAGAATTATTACTTATTTAAAACTATTTACATCAATGGACCTATATGTATATTAAAATCGTTTATACATATATATATATATATATGGAATTGTATAAAAATGTATATAAATCTTACTTTTCTAATTTAAAATTATATTCATTAATAGCATGAACTACAGGGCTGTTTCTAAAACGTTCAGTGTTGCAAAAAAAGTTATAAATCTTTTCACCATTTGTCCTAGTCTCTCTTTCCCTAATGTCACTCAGTTTCTTTGGCAATAGTCCGTGAAGTCTGTGTGATGGTTGTAACATGTCCTCAATTAATTTTTTTTAAGGAGGCACATAAATTGTTTCTGCGTTCTTCTAAGGTCAGCAGATTGCTCTGAGATAATAGAAGTCCATAATCACAAAGGCCAGGATAAATTATTCGGAGGGCTCGTTTTTGGATTCTTTCTATGTTTTTCTTATGCATTTGTGTTAGACCACCACTCCAGATTTGTGCACCATACTCCAGAACAGAACGAATTACTGTACAATAGAAAGCTAATAGGTCATTTTTTGGTGCACCATAACTCTTTAAGATCTTCAAGAGGTAAAGTCGCTTAGCGCCTTTTTTTACAATATACTCAGTGTTGGTTTTCCATCTCATGTCATCGTCTATCCATATTCCTAACAATTTATACGACTTTACACGGGATATTTTATCGTCGCCAATATTAATCAGTGGTATTTCTGTTTTCTTCTTCCGAAAATCATTTGCATTTCTTTACATTTTTTTCCATTCAGTTCCATACTCTCATCCTTTGCAAATTGCACTACGTTATTTACACTTCGTTGGGTGTTACCAATTGGGCTACCAGATGAGTGTTGAGTTATGGTAATGACTTCGGACAATGTATACTATCATCAACGAACATAGCTATATCTTGATCATCAGATGCTTCACATATCTGTTCCTGTTCATTAGGTATAGCGACTTGTGGGAGATGGTTAATTTTTAGGATAAATGCTATTGGACCCAGCTTGCTACCCTGTGGGACTCCACCCCTGATCTTTCGCAGGTCTGATTGCTCACCTTGAAATGATATAAATTGCGATCTGCAATGTAGATAGGACGCAAACCAACCCACTAATGCGGGCCGTACACCGATACACTGGACAGTACTGTACTCCAGGGGCGCCGGAAGCAAAATGACGTGGCGGGGGCAGCCATTCAAAAAGGGCACTTATTCTTGAGCCTTAATATTTTTTTTGGGAGTGTGGGGGAGGGGGGGGAATGTTCGTTAACATTTTGCTGTATAACAGATACTTCATTACTTGTAGCAAATACAGTTAGACAAATTTCGGCATGGATTGGAACATTTTTATTCGTTGCATAACACTAAAGACTAAAATGTATTGTAAAGCAACATGACAGTTGTCAGTTATTTAGGAAGGCTTTCTTTTTCACTTTTTCATAGGTAGAAACTGATTGGTAACGTTTGTGAGAGGAATTCAGATTCAAATATGAGTTAAATTGTTTAAAAACAGTTTCCAATCTCAATTCATGTGAAAAACGCACGACATTCGAAGTGCAGTTCTGGTAAAAAGGGCAACCTGCTGCCCCCGTGCTGCCCCCGCACTGTTTAGGCAACTCGGGCAGCTGCCCCCGCTGCCCCCGTGGCCCCGGCGCCCCTGAATTACTCCATCAATTGCATCAATTTTTAATCAATCAATCGCAATTGGTATATTCCATTCTGATTGGAAAGTCCCTAGGGTAGCTCCAATACACAAAACAGGAGCTAAGCACGATATGGAAAATTACAAACCGACATCTGTTATTTCAATTATAGCGAAGATTATGGAGAAACTGATACATAACCAATTATATGATTATCTTATTGCTTCAAACCTACTAACAAATTCCCAACACGGCTTTAGACCATGTCATTAAACAAGCACAGCTCTATTAGATATCACTAATAGATGGTACCAAAACATGGACGTAGGACAATTAAATGGAGTTGCATTTTTAGATTTAAAAAAGGCCTTTGGTACTGTTGACCACGACATTCTTGTAAAAAAGTTATAAATTTATGGCATTAAAGGCATGGCACTATGTTGGTTGCGATCATACCTATCAGACAGAATCCAATATTGTCAAGTAAATGGTCACCTGTCAGCCACCACCTAACTGTGAAGACCGGAATACCACAAGGCTCGGGATTAGGTCCATTATTGTTTTTGATCTATATTAATGATTTTCCAAAATGCTTAAGACACACTACACCAGATATGTTTGCCGATGACACCCAAATTGCAACATCTAATAGCGATATCAATGTTATCTTAGAGAATCTTAACACATGCAGATTTAATAAATGTTTCGACTTGGATGTCAGCTAATAAATTAACATTGAACAATAAAAAAACAGAATATATGGTTACAGGTAGCAATAAACAACTTGGCCAAAAAGTCCAAGAACCCTCAATCTTTGTGAGAGGCACAGAGATTAAAAAGGTTAATGCGAGCAAGTCGCTTGGCCTATTGCTTCATGATACTTTATGGAGGGTGGGAAAGGGTATTTTCGTGAGCCGTGAATGGCGAATATTTGTTCCTGTGAAATGTCAAATGCTTGATCTTAGTGTCGTGAAATGTGATTTGCTCTACAGCCGTGAGGCGTGATTGTTGATAAAAATGCTCCATGAAATGAGAATTAAGGATGCCTGTTTCGCGAACTGTGATTATTATAGTGATTATTATAATAAACATGATACGCGATAATCAAATTTATATGATCTCACTCGATTGCACAAGAGTAAAAACTTCGGAGGCCTTTCGCGAGGTTCTTGACGCTGAGGACAAGATTTCTGACGCTGAGGACAAGGATCCTGACGCAGAGGACAAGGTTCCTGACGCAGAGGACAAGATTCCTGACGCTGAAGACAAAGTTCCTGGCGAGCAGCACAAGGTTCCTGCCGCTGAGGACAAGGTTTCCGGCGCTGAGGACAAGGTTCCTGCCGGTGAGGAAAAGGTTGCTGGCGCTGAGGATAAGGTTCCTGGCGGTGAGGACAAGGTTCCTGCTGGGAAGGACAATGTTCCTGGCGGTGAGGACAAGGATCCTCGCGCTGAGGACAAGGTTCCTGGCGCTGAGGACAACGTTCCTGGCGCTGAGGACAAAGTTCCTGGGGCTGAGAACAAGGTTAATGGCTGTGAGAACAAGGTTAATGGCTGTGAGGACAAGGTTACTGGCCGTGAGGGCAAGGTTCCTGGCGGTAAGGACAAGGTTGCTGGCTGTGAGGACTAGGTTACTGGCGGTGAGGACAATATTCCTGGCCGTGAGGACAAGGTTCCTGGCGGTGAGATCAAGGTTCCTGGTGGTAAGGACAAGGTTCCAGGCGGCGAGGACAAGGTTACTGGCTGTGAGGACAAGGTTCCTGGCGGTGAGGACAAGGTTACTGGCGGTTAGGACAAGGTTACTGGCGGTGAGGACAAGGTTACTGGCTGTGAGGACAAGGTTCCTGGCGGTGAGGACTAGGTTCCTGGCGGTGGAAACAAGGTTCCTGGCGGTGAGGACAAGGTTACTGGCGGTGAGGACAAGGTTACTGGCGGTGAGGACAAGGTTACTGGCGGTGAGGACAAGGTTGCTCACGCTAAGGACAAGGTTCCTGACGCTGAGGACAAGGTACCTGGCGAGCAGGACAAGGTTCCTGGCGCTGAGGATAAGGTTCCTGCGCTGAGAAGAAGGCTCCCGGCGGTGAGGACAAGGTTCCTGGCGCTGAGGACAATGTTCCTGGCGGTGAGGACAAGTTTCCTGGCGGTGAGGAAAAGGTTCCTGGCGGTGAGGACAAGGTTCCTGGCGGTGAGCACAAGGTTCCTGGCGGTGACGACAAGGTTACCGGCTGTGGGGAAAAAGGTTCCTGGCGGCGAGGACTAGGTTCCTGGCGGTGAGGACAAGGTTCCTGGCGTTGAGGACAAGGTCCTGGCGGCCAGGACAAGGTTACTGGCAGTGAGGACAAGGTTCCTGGCGGTGAGGACAAGGTACCAGGCGGTGACAACAAGGTTCCTGGCGGTGAGGACAAGGTACCTGGCGGTGACGACAAGGTTCCTGTCTGTGAGGACAAGGTTGCTGGCGGTGAGGATTAGGTTCCCAGCGGTGAGTTCAAGGATCCTGGCCGTGACGACAAGATTCCTGGCGGCAAGGACAAGCTTCCTGGCGGTGAGCACAAGGTTCCTGGAAGTGAGGACATGGTTCCGCGCGATGAGGACAAGGTTCCTGGCGGTGATGAAAAGGTCCTGGTGGCCAGAACAAGGTTACTGGCAGTGAGGACAAGGTTCCTGGCGGTGAGGACAAGGTACCAGGCGGTGACGACAAGGTTCCTGGCGGTGAGGCCAAGGTACCTGGCGGTGACGACAAGGTTCCTGGCTGTGAGGAAAAGGTTCCTGGCGGTGAGGACAAGGTTCCTGGCTGTCAGCACAAGGTTCCTGGCGGTGAGGACAAGGTCCTGGTGGCCAGAACAAGGTTACTGGCAGTGAGGACAAGGTTTCTGGAGGTGAGGACAAGGTACCAGGCGGTGACGACAAGGTTCCTGGCGGTGAGGCCAAGGTACATGGCGGTGACGACAAGGTTCCTGGCTGTGAGGACAAGGTTCCTGGCGGTGAGCACAAGGTTCCTGGCGGTGACGAAAAGGTTACTTGCTGTGGGGAAAAAGATTCCTGGCGGCGAGGACTAGGTTCCTGGCGGTGAGGACAAGGTTCCTGGCTTTGAGGACAAGGTCCTGGCAGCCAGGACAAGGTTACTAGCAGTGAAGACAAGGTTACTGGCGGTGAGGACAAGGTACCAGGCGGTGACAACAAGGTTCCTGGCGGTGAGGACAAGATACCTGGCGGTAACGACAAGGTTCCTGGCTGTGAGGACAAGGTTGCTGGCGGTGAGGACTAGGTTCCCAGCCGTGAGATCAAGGTTCCTGGCCGTGACGACAAGATTCCTCGCGGCAAGGACAAGCTTCCTGGCGGTGAGCACAAGGTTCCTGGAGGTGAGGACATGGTTCCGAGCGATGAGGACAAGGCAAGGATCCTGGCGGTGATGACAAGGTTCCTGGCGGTGAGGACAAGGTTACTGGCGGTGTGGACAAGGTTCCTGGCAGTGAAAACAAGGTTACTGGCTGTGAGAACAAGGTTACTGGCATGAGGACAAGGTTCCTGGCTGTGAGGACAAGGTTCCTGGCGGTGAGGACAAGGTTCTTGGCGGTGACGAAAAGGTTCCTTGCGTCCTGGCGGTGAGGACAAAGTTTCTGGCGCTGGGGACAAGGTTCCTGGCTGTGAGTACAAGGTTCCTGGCGGTGAGGACAAGGTTACTGGCGGTGAGGGATAGGGCCTGGCGGTGACGACAATGTTCCTGGCGGTGAGGACAAGGTTCCTGCCGGTGACGACAAGGTTACTGGCTGTGAGGACAAGGTTGCTGGCCGTTAGGACTAGGTTCCTGGCGGTGAGATCAAGGTTCCTGGCCGTGAGGACAAGGCTCCTGGCGGTGAGGTCAAGGTTCCTGGCCGTGAGGACAAGGTTCCTGGCCGTGAGGACAAGGTTCCTGGCCGTGAGGACAAGGTTCCTGGGCATGAAGACAAGGTTCCCTGCGGTGACGACAAGGTTCCTGGCTGTGAGAACAAGGTTCCTGGCGGTGACGACAAAGTTACTGGCTGTGAGGACAAGGTTCCTGGCGGCGAGGACTAGGTTCCTGGCTGTGAGGACAAGGTTCCTGGCGGTGAGAACAAGGTTCCTGGCGGTGAGGACATTGTTACTGACGTTGAAGGCAAGGTTCCTGGCGGTAAAGACACGGTTCATGGCGGTGAGGACAAGGTTACTGGCGGTGAGGACAAGCTTCCTGGTGGTGAGGACAAGGTTACTGGCGGTGAGGACAAGGTTACTGGCGGTGAGGACAAGGTTTCTGGAAGTGAGAACAAGGTTCCTGGCGGTGAGGACAAGGTTGCTGGGCGTGAGGACAAGATTCCTGGCGGTGAGAACAAGGTTCCTGGGGTTGAGGACAAGGTTCTTGGGCGTGAGAACAAGGTTCCTGGGCGTGAAGACAAGGCTGCTGCCGGTGACGACAAGGTTCGTGGCGGTGAGCACAAGGTTCCTGGCGGTGAGGACAAGGTTACTGGCTGTGAGGACAAGTTTCCGGGCGGCGAAGACTAGGTTCCTGGCGGTGAGGACAAGGTTCCTGGCTGTGAGGACAAGGTTGCTGGCCGAAAGGACTAGGTTACTGGCGGTGATATCAAGGTTACTGGCGGTGAGGGCAAGGTTCCTGGCGGTGACGACAAGGTTCCTGGCGGTGGGAACAAGGTTCCAGGCGGTGAGGATAAGGGTCCTGGCGGTGAGGACAAGGTTTCTGGCGGTGAGGAAAAGGTTCCTGCCAATGAGAACAAGGTTACTGGCTGTGAGAACAAGGTTACTGGCATGAGGACAAGGTTCCTGGCCTTGAGAACAAGGTTCCTGGCGGTGACGACAAGGTTCCTGCCGGTGAGGACAAGGTTCTTGGCGCTGAGGAAAAAGTTCCTGGCGTCCTGATGCTGAGAACAAGGCTCCTGGCGGTGAGGACAAGGTTCCTGGCGGTGAGGACATTGTTACTGACGGTGGAGGCAAGGTTCCTGGCGGTAAAGACACGGTTCCTGGCGGTGAGGACAAGGTTACTGGCGGTGAGGACAAGCTTCCTGGTGGTGAGGACAAGGTTCCTGGCGGTGAGGACAAGGTTGCTGGGCGTGAGGACAAGATTCCTGGCGGTGAGAACAAGGTTGCTGGGGTTGAGGACAAGGTTCCTGGGCGTGAGAACAAGGTTCCTGGGCGTGAAGACAAGGCTGCTGCCGGTGACGACAAGGTTCGTGGCGGTGAGCACAAGGTTCCTGGCGGTGACGACAAGGTTACTGGCTGTGAGGACAAGTTTCCGCGCGGCGAAGACTAGCTTCCTGGCGGTGAGGACAAGGTTCTTGGCTGTGAGGACAAGGTTGCTGGCCGTAAGGACTAGGTTCCTGGCGGTGATATCAAGGTTACTGGCGGTGAGGGCAAGGTTCCTGGCGGTGACGACAAGGTTCCTGGCGGTGGGAACAAGGTTCCAGGCAGTGAGGATAAGGGTCCTGGCGGTGAGGACAATGTTCCTGGCGGTGAGGAAAAGGTTCCTGGCAATGAGAACAAGGTTACTGGCTGTGAGAACAAGGTTACTGGCATGAGGACAAGGTTCCTGGCCTTGAGAACAAGGTTCCTGGCGGTGACGACAAGGTTCCTGGCGGTGAGGACAAGGTTCGTGGCGCTGAGGAAAAAGTTCCTGGCGTCCTGATGCTGAGAACAAGGCTCCTGGCGGTGAGGACAAGGTTCGTGGCCGGGAGGACAAGGTTCCTGGCTGTGAGGACAAGCTTCCTTGCCGCGAGTACAAGATTCCTGGCCGTAAGGACAAGGTTCTTGGCCGTGAGAACAATGCTCCTGAGCGTGAGGACAAGGTTCCTGGTGGTGAGGACATGGTTCCTGGCGGTGAGGAGAAATTTCCTGGCGGTGAGGACAAGGTTCCTGGCGGTGACGACAAGGTTCCTCGCGGTGATGTCAAGGTTGCTGGCGGTGAGGACAAGGTTACTGGCGGTGAGGACAAAGTTCCTGGGGGCGAGGACAAGGTTACTGGCTGTGACGACAAGGTTACCTGCTGTGAGGACATGGTTCCTGGATTGGAGGACTAGGTTCCTGGCGGTGAGGACAAGGTTCGTGGCGGTGAGGACAAGGTTCCTGGCGGCGAGGACAAGGTTACTGGCTGTGAGGACAAGGTTGCTGGCCGTAAGGACTAGGTTCCTGGCGGTGATATCAAGGTTCCTGCCCGTGAGGACAAGGCTCCTGGCGGTGAGGACCAGGTTCCTGGCCGTGAGGACAAGGTTCCTGGCCATGAGAACAAGGTTCCTGGCGGTGAGGACAAGGTTACTGGCGGTTAGGATAAGGTTCCTGACGGTGAGGACAAGGTTACTGGCGATGAGGACAAGGTTTCTGCCGGTGAGGACAAGGTTCCTGGCGGTGAGGACATGGTTCCGGGCGATGAGGACAAGGTTCCTGGCGGTGATGACAAGGTTCCCGGCGGTGAGGACAAGGTTCCTGGCGGTGTGGAAAAGGTTCCTGGCAGTGAAAAGAAGGTTAGTGGCTGTGAGAACAAGGTTACTGGCATGAGGACAAGGTTCCTGGCTGTGAGGACAAGGTTCCTGGCGGTGAGGACAAGGTTCTTGGCGGTGAAGACAAGGTTCCTGGCGGTGAGGACAAGGTTACTGGCTGTGACGACAAGGTTACCGGCTGTGAGGACAAGGTTCCTGGAGGCGAGGGCTAGGTTCCTGGCTGTGAGGACAAGGTTCGTGGCGGAGAGGACAAGGTTTCTGGCGCCGAGGACAAGGTTACTGGCTTTGAGGACAAGGTTGCTGGCGGTGAGGACAAGGTTGCTCACGCTAAGGACAAGGTTCCTGACGCTGAGGACAAGGTACCTGGCGAGCAGGACAAGGTTCCTGGCGCTGAGGATAAGGTTCCTGGCGCTGAGAACAAGGCTCCCGGCGGTGAGGACAAGGTTCCTGGCGATGAGGACAATATTCCTGGCGGTGAGGACAAGTTTCCTGGCGGTGAGGAAAAGGTTCCTGGCGGAGAGGACAAGGTTCCTGGCGGTGAGCACAAGGTTCCTGGCGGTGACGACAAGGTTACCGGCTGTGGGGAAAAAGGTTCCTGGCGGCGAGGACTAAGTTCCTGGCGGTCAGGACAAGGTTCCTGGCGGTGAGGACAAGGTCCTTGTGGCCAGAACAAGGTTACTGGCAGTGAGGACAAGATTCCTGGCGGTGAGGACAAGGTACCAGGCGGTGACGACAATGTTCCTGGCGGTGAGGCCAAGGTACCTGGCGGTGACGACAAGGTTC